AAGCGCGCTGTAAAAGTAACCCTAAACCTAAACTTAACCCCTAACCCTAAACCTAACCCTAACCCTAAACCTAACCCTTAACCTAACCCTAAACCTAACCCTAACCCTAAACCTAACCCTTAACCTAACCCTTAACCTCACCCTTAACCTAACCCTTAACCTCACCCTTAAGCTAACCCTAAACCTAACCCTAACCCTTAACCTCACCCTAAACCTAACCCTAACCCTTAACCTCACCCTTAACCTAACCCTAAACCTAACCCTTAACCTCACCCTAAACGTAACCCTTACCTTAAGTTAAATCGGCTTTCTTTCGACGCGCTATTGTAAAGCGCCCTTTCTCCGCGCTGGCTGTTGTCGCCGCGTTGATGACGTCAGCGACGCGGTTTAGTCGGGCGCGGTTTTGACGTTCGCCCTTTTATGGGGTCACGATATTAGGAGCATTCTAAAAACCATGCTAGGGCTTAATTTCTGGTTGGGTCTTATTTTTGGGGAAACACAGTAAACACAGTCTATTACTCAGATAAAACACAACATTAAAATAATCACAGTATGAAAAGAGCAAAATTCAGTCTCACATAGCACGGTTAGATTGGAATTATCCGGCCTCCTGGCTCACTACTTGGAAGAAAAGCCAGGTCTTCATAGTCCTCTGTACGGCCAGGAAAGTGACAGCTTCCTGGATCCCAGGGGAAGTGATGACACAAGGCAGGCACCATCTTTTTTATCTTTTTCCAGACAGTGGCTGGTAGAATCAATACCAAAATCCAGTTATCTCTTCCTCCCTCTCCACATTTTATTGCCTTTCTTCTATTACAGGGAAAACCATACAAAGAGCTGCTACCTTTTTCATCTGCATTTATTTTAAAAATAATTTTTATTAAAAGATTTTACATGGTTAATGAAAAATACATTCAAAGGAAAATATTTTAAAATAAATGAAAAAGAAAAAAAAGAAAACAGACAACTATAAAGACCAAAGGGAATAGAGAAAAAAACAAGAAAAAAAATCAGAAAACATGCATATACACACACACACACACCTACCTATCTTCATGTTGATAATTAAATTCTAATCAAACTACAATCTCCAAGATTTCATCATTTCCTTTCTAATCAAGAAAACTGTTAGTCACAAAACCATTTTCTTTTTTGCACAAAAAAGTCCAAAAGGAGTTTCCAATTATTGATGAATGTTAACACCTTTCTCTAACCAAGTGTTTTACCCTACATTTTTATACAGACCCTACATTCACAAAGGCATCTTCTGTTAGCTGCTGTCAGTCAGGAATGGAACTCAACAAGTGATGCTGATTTATAGACTCCTGTTATCTCAAGAGTAAAATTGCAACAAATATATGAATCCCATTCATTTAGTGGAATCTATGAAGTTGGAGAGGAGAAATACAGGAGCCTTCCATCTAGTCCCATTTGTATAGTTACTTGTTCTGACCCCCTCCTCCGTCCAGTAACGAATGCCGAGNGGGCGCCGCCAGGAGCAGCCGCCGCAGCCCGAGAGGAGGCGCAGGTGAGAAGGTGGCGGCGAGGCGCCTTTCCTCTACTGCCCTCCTGCAGGAAAGGCTTGTTCCGCTCCGAAAAGGGACAGGAGGGGAGATCCTACGGCGGGGAGGGGGGGCGCGGCAAAAAAACGCGGACCACTCACTATGCCCTCCTCCGCCCTTTCTGTGGGCCAAGGACGGAAGGGGACGCCTGGCTTCCCTTGGGGTGAGCGAGCGGCCGCTCAATAGAAAGGAGAGAAGGGGGATCCTAGAAGTGAATGCGGACATGAACCCGGGGGGGGGGAGGCAATTGAGGGGATGTGAAGAAGCAGGGAAGCTTGAATTTGACCCATAGGAGAGAAGGGAGAGAGAGGGACAGAGAGCATTTTTATAGTAGGAGGTCTTGGTTTCCTCTCTCTTGGAGAGGAAAGGCCAGCGGCGACTATTTGTGGCGGGAGAAGTTCTTTTATTTTAGGGAACAAATAAATGAGGATGAAATTAAGGGGTTTTGCAGCTGTCCCGTGTATGTGTGCGGACCGTCCAGTATCCCCCCAAATTAGTCTCCAAAAGCATTTCCCACTGCATCGCTCCCGGGCCCCATTGGCTTTGAATGAAATTGTAGTGTCCTTTTAATTTCATTTCCTCTTCTCTTGATAGTGATTCCCTGGGGCTTTCTCTTCTGTTGAGCAGTTTGTTTGTTTGTTTTCCAAAAGAGAACTGTTCTGGGATTTGAAACTAGTACAGTACTTGATGCCCTTGCTATTTCTTTTTAGTTGAGTTATGGTTGTCAGCTTTATTTTAATTTTTTATTAACCAGATCAATACACCCATCTCACTGTATAAAATGATGCTGGGAAGTTTACAATAAAAGAGACCATAACTCTATACAAAAATATCAGAAGAACAAAACTAAGTATATCATTTGTACCTAAAGCCTCTTTTGTTCAAGTTACACAAGCCAATTAAAAGTCCCATGTAGGATTTCAGTTCTGGCCATAAGGAACCTGAGAAATAACATCACACTTACGATAATTTGTTTTTATTTTTACCATTCTATTCCTGTTTAATTTGCAAGAAAATTATTAGATTTACTTTTGAATAAAACTGTACATATAGATTAGATTGATTTGATGGGGTTATCTTATTAAATATTGAAACTGTTACAGAAATAGTATGTTATTGCAATCCTGTACTCTTCAAGGTTTTTTTAAGCAAACAAGAATCTGCTCTTTTCTTCCCTAAAGTAAATGCTATATGTAGTTAAAAACATTCTGATACTGTAAGATACAATCAGGTTAATGGTGTTCTTTGTGCCTTCCAGAAATTAATAAGACACAATTCAGTGAAATATAACTATATAGAAACTACTGACATTAATGAATGCTGGATTTTAGCAAGGCTATTCAATGTGTGCTGGAAATTTATATGGACGTGTCACTGATCACACACCATGATTTCATTGCACTACAGTACTTCTAAACTTCATATTGAAGCTCAAGCTTTCATCATTTCTTGTTTTCATGCAATATTTCAAATTTTAAGAAATAATTTTTAAACTAAATGTTATGTGTAAAATTAACCAGAATCTAATGAATTATATTTGTACGTTCTGAGAAAGAGAGACTGGTGTGAGTGTTTATTGTTATTCTCTGTTCTGACATTAAGCAGAGTATCTGCATGCTTTGTTTGAAGTCAGTTTACCTTTCCATACAATATAGCTTGTGTGACTGCAAGGAGTATAAAAATTGCAAAAATATAACATGTGAGTTTGTGCCATTTAATATGTTATCCGCATAAAACCAGAATTAATGGTGTATTAATGTTCAAACCAGGCCTTTGACAGTAAAAACCCAGTCCTTACAAAGTATTTACAAACTGTAATAGAAGGACTAATGATTTTCTGAAGGAAGCAGCCATTGAAATAGTGCATTTGTTATATGCATTTGGATTTGAGGAAGATAGCAAAATTAAGATATAAAAGGAAAAATCTGTTTTTTCCCAATTTAGATTATGAGTATGCAGAATTTTATTTCAAGCATTTTCCTAGCTATATCTTTAAATTAGAACTGAAATAGAAGTGAGTAAACATGGCTTTCTACTGGGTTTGCAATTTTCTGATAGGATTACTGCTTTCATGTATAAGTGTTTTCTCTTTCTCCGCATCAAATGCTGGATAATAGTTTTACAAAAGTATCAGTTATAGATGTTGATTGTTCATTGTACTGTATTTGTGAGCTTCCCAGAATTGTTAAAGAAGTTAATCGCATCTACATTTTCTAATAACACCTGTCATCCACAAAGAACAGTTTTACTTAGAGATGTGGGTCTTCTGAATCTCATCAGGAGAAAGAAAGAGTATAATGTAGATTACCATACATCATATATAAGACATTTCAGTGATAAATTAGTATTAGTCAGCATAATGTGGACTCCACAATTTTTGTAGATTTATAAGCACTGTCTGGGCCAGTTTTGTTCTAGTCCTATAGATAAGAATAAAATGATTGGGAAGTCCAACTATTTATATGTTTGACTCTTTCCTTGTCATGTCTTATTAAATAAAAAATGGAACAAGAAACTCTTTATAAATAAATAAATGAATACATACATACATACATACGCACACTATTCTTGTATGATAAAAATGGTAATGGTTATTGTCATTTACTATTGATTTCCTGCATAAAGTAATCGAGTAGTGAATACTCAGTTTTAAAGATATTATATTGCCTCATTTATTAATAATTAAATAATGCATTTTCATTATTTCATTAAAATAAAAATGAATTAGTGTTGAAAACCTGCAACACACTTGCCAAACCATAATTGCTAAAATATACACTTATACCATATTTTTCAAAGTATAAGACACACCAAGATTTTGAAAAGGCAATTTAAAAAAAAAAAGGTTTTGCACTCTGCAGACCTCCCCAAAACAGCCCATTTTTTGCTAAGACGGGCCCCCTTCCCCCCCCCCCAAAAGGACATGAATAGCCTTTACGAGGCTTGTAGAGTGCTCCTGGGGGGTGCTCCCCCAAAATAAGCAAAAATGGCCCATTTTTCACAAAAATGGGCCCATTTTT